CAGAGAGCTATGCTGTCAGCCAGGCTGCTTGGCTAAAGCCTATAGATGGCAGCTCCATGTAAGGAACGTCTTGGGGGTGGTGGTGAGACAGCAGGCAGCTGTTGACAGGGGAGTGCAGTGTCAGGAGGGCTAGGCACTGAGATCCAGCTGTCTCTTTGTTCAGCATGCAGTGAAGTCAGGGCAGGAAGTGAGATGGGGCTGGTCTGTCTGGTGTACCAGAAACTGCCCCGAGCAACATTTTCAGCATAGGACAAAGCAGGTCTGAATCACTGTGTCGAACCAGGTGGCACAAGAATATACTCCAGAGTCACTGTTTTCCAGGTTTTTGAGTTCAAGTTCATACCTATTCCATGCACTTTTATAAGCCTGGTATTTTCCTTGAGTGTTTCCCAAATCCACCACAACCTTGGTGTTAGTATCCCTGTCTTGGTAAAGAAGATGTTGTGGGGCCTTCCTCTCCTGGAACTGGTACCAGTGGATGTAGTTGGCACTTATTTGACTTAAGTCGCAAGTGATTGCAACAGATGATCCAATCTTCCTTGTGACAGACATTCTTCCTTCCAAATTGGAAGATATTTGACTGGCTACAGTGGGAAAAACAAAAAATATCGAGGAGTTCCTTAGAATATTTTTCTATTGGAGAAAGCTAAAACTCATTAAGTATCTTTCTATGCAACATACTCACCAGAAGCCAGGAAAGTTAAAAGTTGGAAGAGAGCCCACTGCATCCTTCTTGCCCAGATGATAAAGGAGCAGAATATCCTCTCAAAGCTGAAATCCACCTCAAAAAGAAGAGATCTCTAGGGCAGAAGGCAATGAGTTGGAGCTGATCTTTTTCAGACTGGGCCATAGCAGGGAGAAGTCACTGAGAATCTACCTCAGAGGAACACCCAGCTATTTACCCGGCAGGGGTGGGCCCTGGGCCTGGGGGAGGCGCCCCTGCTGCTCTGTCACCCATTGCTGGAGCGCCCTCCAGTGGCAGCTGAGAGCAGCCTCCCTCCAGGAGAGAAGCCAGCAGCCCTGAGAGCCCAGAACTGAAGAGATTGAGTCAAATATGGCAGGAAGCAAAACCATGCCTACAGTAACCTGTTCCCTGGTGGAGCGAGCAGTCGACATCAGCTCACTCCCTGCAGTTCAGTTTCAGTCTGTCAGTGCCCTGCCATGGTCTTGTCCTGAGAGGAAATTTCTCTGTCCTGGTCCTGAACCACCTTTCTTTGCACCTGTCTGTAGGCAGTGAGGCAACCACCACCAGCAGATCTCAGAAGCTTTGAACCTGCTTAATTAAGAGAAATTAGAATCAGGTCTATTAGCCACACTTCATTCCTGTCAAAGGAAAGTGGACCGGTGAGTGTGTGTGTTTACACAAATCACTGTGTCAGAGGATTTCTGTTCATCATCAGGTAGAGGCTCCCTCACGCACGATTGCAAGATTTAGTGAAAAGAAAGAGAACAGCAGGCCCAGCTTGGGTGTGCGTGCTACTTGGCACTGCTACTAGTCCAGGCAAGGTCACATGAGAGGACTAGGCTCAATTCCCAGCCCACTCTGAAAGCCAGGCATGGGCGTCCACCTGAGGTCCCAGCTACCAGGAGACTGAGGCAGAGTTATCGTGATGTAGCATGACCGTGTGTTTAAAAAATAAAAATGGAGAAAAGACGAAAAGAAAGTACAGGGTGACATGCCTTGCAATATTTTGTACACACTTAAAAATTCACTGGCTGTTGACCCCAATTTCAAACTTCTATATTTTATTTGGCCACCACATTCTGGAAGTGAAGGCCTCTTCTGAATAAACATGAAAAGTTAAGAAATACAGTGAAAGTAATTTTAGAAAAATCCTGTTACCTGTAGGATGAGGGATATAAGAGGGAAGAGAAAACTAGGATGGAAATTAAATATCACTTCTTAAATAGTATCTACTTTATAGCTATGTGAATATTATACCTCCACAAAACAAATATAAATCAAAGAAAAAAACTACCCCCACAATCACAAATATTTTATGTGCACAATATGTTAAGAGTTATGCATAAGATTTTTGCATACATGGCTGAAGACTGAAGAATTTTTGGAGGACAGTAATATAAATTACCCTGTCCTTATTTTGTTCAAATGAAATAATCTAGTCCCATGGCTCAGTGTCTTAAGCTTCCCCATGACATTTCAGCGGTGGCAGAGCAATTTAGATCCCAAATCTCTTTATAACTCTTTCCTCTAAACCTAGTGACATATAATAACAAACCTGATTGCTCCGTTTTCTCCTGTTTCCTTTGCTGCTTTTATATTGATAAGTGTAGGCCAGGAATTGCCAGGAAGCTAGGTTGATCCATTGGCCAACATAAGGACTGTGTGTCCTCTATGCTTTAGAAGTTAGTAAGAGTGGCCAATAGCGGGGAATCCCTGAGCTCAGACTGGAAGAACTGTAATAGCTGGCCTACGAAATACACACAGCCTCCAGGAAACCATGGGAGGTAGCAGTCATAGAGACAGACAGGCAAGACCTATCCTTCTGCCCCTTCAGAAGGCACAGATAAATTAAAGTCAGAAGAGTGTTGGGAAACACATTTTTAAAGAAAGCACAACATTAGAAATAAGTAAACTTACAGATTCCATTTATGTATAAATACCCTAACTGAGATCTTCCAGTGAAGGTTAAGAAAGAAGGTGTTCGCCTGTAGACTGACAGCGGTTTGGATAACTGAGGCATCTGTGGCAGACCCTGACTTGTAGCATTGCTCAAGATTCACCTGAGTTCTCCCTGGTGAGGATAAGCATATTTTCCAAGTGAAATAGGGAAACTGTTACTCTCTATTTACTCCTTATGGATGAGGGTCAATAAGACAGTGGTGCCACAGTGGTAATAACTTAGTGTAGGGGAGCTGCCTGGGTTCAAATCCTGGCTTCATCACTAAGATGCTCTATGATCTTGGACAGTTTACAGATTTATCTTCTCTGTACATAATTGAATTCCTGATTGCAATTGACTCATTCAGAAAGTCTTCCATGGGGCCATAATATATATAATGGATTTCATAAAAATCACAAGTAGTCAGATATTAGCTGCTGAGATAGGCAGAACCCTCTCCACACCCAGGAACCTGGAGCTTTCTTGTAGGCTTTATTGAGAACCTGGTGGAAAATTAACCTTCTAGAACATTTTCTCTGATCTTAAGAAATACATGTGAGCTCCAATAGAAAGGATAAATAAGCATTTGATTACAGTTTGTTTAGTTTTTAAGTATTCGTTTTCATTTTTTGTCTTTTAGTTATTAGAAATTAATTGAAATTTGGTATCATTAACACATTAAACTCTACAGCAGGGATTCCCCAGTGCTGGTCTAGAGACCCCTGCTAGTGTGTGGTAGTCATCGGCTACATCAGAATGACAAAGACTGTCTAGTGAGTTCTTCAAAAAACTAAGTTACTTTGTTTTGATACAACTTACTATCTTTTATTTTTTTGGAGAGGTTTTTGCTATAGGGCGCGTGTGCTCGCCAGACAGACAGAAAGACAGAGAGACAGAAAGCGAGAAATCACCCCCCAGGGGGGATGGTCACGCCACAATCCCTTCTCCTCCATTCTCCTCTCGGGATCTTGGGCACGCACGCACACGCGCCCGGCGTGAGTTTTAAGCTGCCGGGTCCAGGACGCAAACCGCAGTCGACTACGTGGGAGTCCAGCGACATAGCCATTACACTAACTGCTGATTCCCAGTTTTGGTACAACTTTTAAGCAACTTTCTTTGTTTTCTTTCTTATACAGCTTTTGGCAGTTTTTAAATGTAAACTGTGAATATTAACAGTTGCCTACCCTATATGAGATCTGTACCCACGGTGGAGAATAGCAGTCAGTCAGCCTGGACAAGTGGGGCGTCTCTGCAGAGTTGCAGCCAGGGGTTCATCTGGGCAGAACCCACAGCAGTTCCTGAGGGCCCATCCTCCACACCTGGGCCTGCTGAGCCCTGTATGGCTTCTTCCCCACATGCGTGAGTCGCTGGCCTGGTCTCTGTGGATGCTGAGCCAGTGAGGAATCCGAGGACATGCACCACTCACACTTTGCCTTTTTGAAGAAATAAAAATGAGACTATTTCTTCTGTCACAGAGATAACTGGTCAAGTTTTGGTTGGCTGAAACTGCTGAGTGATTTGTTCGTGACTTTGTCTCTGTTGTTCTGACAATTGCCTCCTCCTACTTAATTCCTTTCCCTCTGCAGCTGGAAGGAAATATTCCATGGTCCCCTGTGCACGGCTGCCTTTGGACTCCTCCAGGGTAGCAACTTTTCTTACTCATCTGTGTCTTCGCATCTGTACACAGCTGTGTCACATTCTCTCCACCCTCAATAAGTGTGCACGGTTGAGTGAGGAACTACAGGCAGTTCTGCCTAGAGTATCGGGCCATTTCAATACTCTCCACACACTCACCTTTTCAAAGTTCTACAACAGGCAGACACAGGACCAGTCCATGATATGGTGGTTAAGGCTCTCAAGTCTTCATTTCCTACCACCGTCTGGGCCTTAGATGCGTGGTAGAAATTCATTCTGGGTGCATGTGAATGGGTGCCCAATATCCCAGGGAGAGAAGGGACTGTGAGATCTCCAACTCCCATGGGGGAGTTTTCGTTTCCCTCTCACTGTCTCTCTTTGCTTCTCCAAAAAGTGCGTGTGCCCTGTGGGTTGTGGTTGAGGAACATTAAGCCCCTCAGACTGAACAGAGCTGCTCAGGAATAAGCTGAGGACCTGCAAGTACAGGGCTCAGGCTTGACCAGCCGGCAAGAGGAGTCATACTGCCCTCCCAAGGCCCTGCCACACTGCACGTCCTCACTAGATGGGCCCCCTAGAAGAGCTCCTGGGGGACAGAGTCCTCTGTCGTCATTTCCAGTGGATGTGGTTGACCCCCGTGTAGACCAAGCTATGCAAGGGGAGCTAACTACCCTTGGGGTCCAGGATGTGGGCGCCTCTAGCCAGGCGACAGGCAGGCCAGCTGTGAGAAAGGCAGCAGTGAGGCAGGGGGCCATAGTCTCACCACCTCTCTGCAGACTCGGCACCCAGGAAGATGTGGCTTGCCTAGAAGAAGGAGGGCCTGCAGGACGGGAGGTGGCCCAGCATGGCTCCACATTGTGACTAGGGTGAGAGGAGCCCTGAGCAAGGTCTTGCCTCTGGCTGCCAGAGGTGCCACACCTAGTGCCTGGCAGAGGGTGGGGTGGGGATGGGGTTGAACAGATGCTTCCCTGGTGGGGCCAGGAGGTCGCTGTTGAGAGAGATAGGAAGGGAGGAGGAGGTCCAGGGAGAGGAGACACTGAGTCTGACCTCAATTACTGGTAACAGCAGTCACAGTAGTCACCAGTAGAACAGCTGCATCACTGCAGACTGGACTGAATGACTGAGGTTGCATGAAATAAAGAAATAATCCCTTCAGGATTCTGGTGCACACACACTTGCACCCAGAGTGTTTTTCAAGCTTCCAGATGCCCTGTCAGCCATGTGGCTTTAAAAGAACATGCCTCTGGCTGACCTGGTCATGAACGTCTGCAATCCCTCCCTCTATCTCCTGAGTTCTTCATGTGTCACTTTTTATGTCTGTCTTCATCTCTGTGTCTACGCCTACCCTGTCCCCTTCTCTCTTTCCCATTGCCGTCCTGCTCTCTGTTTCCCTGTTGTCCCTTTCCAGGTCTCTCTCCCTTCCCTCCTCCACTCTCTGCACCTTCTCTTCTTTCTCCCACTCTATGCAGCAGCCTGCCTCTCCACGTCTCTCTAAGTGCTTCTCGCTGCTTCCCTTTCATGTGCTCTTTCTCCATCACAGATCTCTCTGTTTCTCTTTCCATATCTGTATGTGGTCATGACTCCAAGCTAGTGTAGGGTCTTCAGTATTCCATAGCCTGCATCACCTCAGAGCCACAGCTCAAAGAACAGAAACAGCACTCCTAGTAGAGTCTTGGTGGCCACAGCCACTCTCTCCAGTCTCGGCAGACAAGGCGAAGGGCCCACACTGCCCAGCGTACTCAGAGAAGTCTCAGCCACGAAAGCAGCAACCTTCTCATGTGGTCAGCCTCTCAGAGCAGGGCTGGCCTGTGAACCAAGCTTTGGAAACGTGCATTTGCGCTTTTCTTCTATACTTGACTCCTGGCACCTAACAGTATCATCATAAATATAAAATATAAATGAAATGAAATGAAACTGCAACTACCACTTACCATGCTAGATGCCACTCTTCCTGCTGCCACCTCTCTCTCTTTATCTCTCTCTGTGCTTTAAAAAAAATAATCAGAGGTCGTGAGTACATTCCAGAGAGACAGAGAAAGAGGGAAAATGAGAAAGCAAAGTCCTTCTCCTTCATCTCCCCTTCCTTGAGGGATTTTGGCAATGCATGCACACATGCCCAGCAGGTTTCTCAAGCCACGTGACCGGACATGCAGCATCCAGCCACCTTAACCACCAAGGCATGGGCTGGCCACCCCCCCACCCCACTCCATTCCTTCTTCCACTCTTTTTCGCACCTGTTCTTTCTCTTTCTTTTCTCTTCTCCTTCCTCCCTTCCTTCTGTGTTGTCCTGTTGGTTTATATCTTTTTTACATCAGTAAAACATTCACATGGCTATAAAGCAGAAATTATTTTAAATGGTGATTTTTAACTTCTATCATGGTTTCCACTTCCTTCTTGTGTCCCTCATCCTACAGGTAACAACATCTTTCTAAAATCACTTCCATTAGACTTTTGAAACTTTTTCTGTTTATTCAGAAGGGGTGTTCATTTCCAGAATGTGATTGCCAAATAAAATACAGAAATTTCAAATTAGAATAAGCCAAAAGTAAATTTTTAGTTGAAGTGTGTAAAATATTGTAATATACATCACCCTGTACTTTCTCTTTTTGCTTCCTTTTTTAATTTTTTAAAGTCAGGGTCATGCTATATCACAATACCTCTGCCTCAGCCTCACTAGTAGCTGGGACCTCGGGTGCACTTCCAGGCCTGGCTTTCAGGGTGGGCTGAGAATTGAACCCACCCTCACCCTGATAAATAGCAGTGTCAACTAGCATGCACATTTGCAACTGGGCCTGTTCTCTTTGTTCTTTTCATAAAGTCTCGCAGTGCTTTGTGAGGAAACCTCTTTACCTGATGATGAACAGAAATCCTCTAGCAAACTGATTGTGTACACACACACACACACACACACACACAGGTCCATTTACCCTTGAGCAGAATCAAATGTGACCAACAGAGATGAATCTAGTATCTTTGAATAAAGCTATTTCAGAGCTTCTGAGATCTGCTGGTGGTGGTCGCCTCACTGCCTACAACAGGTGTGAAGGAAGATGGTTCAGGACCAGGATGCAGGAGTTTCCTCTCAGGACAAGACCACGGCAGGGCACTGACAGACTGACATCCGGACTGCAGGGAGTGAGCTGATGTCGACTGCTCCCTCCACCAGGAACAGGTAGCTGTAGGCATGGTTCTGCTTCCCACCATATTTGACTCAGTCTCTTCAGTTCTGGGCTCTCAGGGCTGTTGGCTTCTCTCCTGGAGGGAGCCTGTTCTCAGCTGCCACAGGAAGGTGCTCCAGAAATGGGTGACAGAGCAGCTGGGGCTCCTCCCCCAGGCCCCAGTGCCCAGCCCTGCTGGGTAAATAATTTGGTCATCCAAGGTAGGTCCTCAGTGACTCTCCGTGCTGTGGCCCAGTCTGCAAGACCAGCTCCAACTCATTGCCTTCTGCTCTAGGGTTCTCTTCTTTTGGAGGTGGGTTTGAGTGGTGAGCAGATATTCTATTCCTTTTTTATCTTAGCTCTCTCCTCTAAGACCCAAGAGGGGAAGATGGAGTGTGTTCTAATCCTGCTTATAGCTTTCCTGCCTCCAGGTAAGTATGTTACATAGAAAGATACTCATGAGATTTTTGGGTTTTTTCCTAATAAGAAGCTATCAGTAAATTGTTCATCATTTTGTGTTTTCTTTTCTCACTGGAGCTAGTCAACTATCTTCCAACTTGGAAGCAAGAACCATGACAGTCACTGGGAAGACTGGATCATCTGTTGTAATCACTTGTGATCTTGCTCGAGGCAACAACTACATCCACTGGTACCAATTTGAACAGGGGAAAGTCCCACAACACCTCCTCTACTACGACTACCACAGCTCCACGGTGGTGGTGGATTTGGGAATCAGTAGTTCAGGGAAATACCACGCTTATGAAAGCACAAGAAGCTACAAATTTGTGATCCGATATCTGCAAGAAAGTGATTCTGGTGTGTATTACTGTGCTGTCTGGAAGAGGCACAGTGATCGAAATCTTCCCTGAACTACACTGAAAATTTTGCCTCTGACAACACCTGGTACAGGCAGCCCAACTCACTTCCTGCCCTTGGCTTCACTCTAGTCTGAACAGAGAAATCTGAAGCTCAGTGACTAGCACCCGCCCCACATTCTACTCCTCTGCCAACAGCTGCACCCTGCCCGCCCCCTACCTGGAACTCCCAGGACTTTCTAAGGTTGGGGCTACCATGTCTGTGCCTAAGCTGAGCCATCTGGCTGACAGCATAGTTCTTTGAACTCTGCTGGGGGCTGGTAGAATAACATTCAATCTGCTTTCTATGACAATGTCACCCAGGGTCGGTCTGTTACGAAAGACATTTAGGAGACCATTATGGGAAGGGCATTTGTATTGAATCATTTATTCAACATTATGGAGATATCATGGATAGAAATGGGGATTCTTTATTTCAGAGGAGTAATAGAAATGTTGGAATGGAAACTTTAGATTTCATGAAGACCTTATGCTTGTAAGTAATCAAATGTGTTATCTTCTGTTTATTTACCTCATGACCACCATCCATGGTACTGCGGGTATTAACAAGAATGTAGAAAAACAGTGATTGTTGTATATACGCTCTCTATTGCATCTACTTACACCTGTTAAAGAACAAGATGTCAAGAAGTTCAATTTCAAAGACCGTTAAAGAACAAGATGTCAAGAAGTTCAATTTTTAAGTCTTAAATTGTTTTTTATTAGATATCTATGAACCAGGCAGCATTCGTCACAAAATAGACACGCGCTCAGCCAGAACAGAATAGTTTTTGTACAGTAGCTTCAGTAAATCGAGGAAGTAGCACAACGCAAAGGGTAGATTGGTTGACATCAGGTTACTTGTGTGGATGAAAATAGAGGGAACTTCCTTACCTGGTCTGAGCAGATAAACTGGACTCTTACTGAATGGTTGCTGTAAAGTATCTTGGTGGTGGTGTGTGTGTGTCTGTGTGTGTTTGTGGCTAAACTTTATTGTTTGGGGAATTTGGTGTGCTTTGTCCCCCTATTAGAAGGTCAGGTTTTACAAGTAAATGGCTTAAGTTTAGTTTTGGTGGCATGGAACCTTAGCATGAGTATCTCCATTTCGCGTCTTTCCGTGTGACTCCAAGTGCTCATTGCAGACCAATGGCTTCCGGTTTGTTGTACTGACTGCACCTTGTTCTGAAATTCAGCCCGCAGCCCAAACTGGCCCGTGTGAAATAGACCCAGCTAAAGCTCTGCATCAACCCTACTCTCCGACACTTGCAAGATCAATTCACAAACTAACATTAGTCTATTAGATTTATGTTTTTGTCAAAAACTAATACTAAGGGGTACTTCGAGAGAACAGCCAGGTAATGAGGAGGAGATACTTAAACCGAGAAGTCATGAAGGCAAAGGGTGATGTGCTTTTACGGACATGAAATTAATCCAAACAGGGAGGAGACTGGGGAGAGAGATACGACATATGGGGTCCAGCCATGATTATCAAGGGAAAGTAGGCTCGTAGAAACCTAAATTTTCACATCCTGAAATTTATTTTGTTATTTGCATAGAAAAAGGCGATCAATTCTGTGAAACTTTGCGTACGTTGTATCCAATAATTTTCCCCGAATCTCTTTTTGATTGTAATTTTATTTGATTCTTTTACTATGTATACATCATATTACCAGAAAAATAGAAATTTCGTCTTTTCTTCTTAACTTTTCTTCATTTTTTCTATTCACAGCACCTGGATTGAAATTTCCAGTACAATATCTAATAAAAGTAAAGATGACTGAGATTCTTGTGCTAGCTGCAGTCTCAAATGGAAAGGTTTAAGTGTTAGAGTATCACCATGTTGAATCTTTCCCTCTATGCATTTGGTGTAGCTTGTTACATCCCAATTTTAGTTTGCATGTTTTTTTTTTTTAAGTTTATTAGCCATTTATTCCATGAGAAAGAGACAGAAGGATAAAAAGAGAAAGACGGGCATACTCGAAAGTGCCCGCAGGCTGCAGTCCACCCCGTCTCAGCTGCCCCGGTCACAGGCACCTGTGCACACAGCTGGTGTATGCAGGGAGGTCCCAGGACAGGAACACATGGCCCTCACATGTGGGTTTAGCTGGCTTATCCCTGGGCAACCACCCGGCCTCTAGTTTATGTTTCTTGTCAAAGTCTTAAAGTTTTCCCTACCACGCTGGTCTTACAAATATCTTTGCTAGCTTAATTCCTAGGCATCTTATACCTTTCATTGTTACTGTATAAAATAGCATTTGCATTATATTTGTTAATTATTTTTATTCTGTAGAAATACTACGGATTTTTCTACTCATAGTTACTAAACAAGTTTAATGCATTTCCTTATCATAACAGTTTGTTTGTGATTCTTTGAGTTTCAAGTACTGTCCACAGGGAAAGGGCAGCTGTAGCCATGGTTCTTCTTCCAACCATATCTGACTCAATTAGCTTCAGTTCTGGGCTCTAAGGGCTGCTGGTTACTCTTCTGAGGGGAGCCTGCTCTCAGCTGCCACAGGAGGGCCCTCCAGCAATGGCTGGACAGAACAGCAGCGGCTCCTCCCCCAGGTCCCAGTGCCAACTCACTGCCTTCGGCCTAGGGATCCCTTCCTTTAGAAGCAGACTTGAGTGGTGAGCAGGTGTTCTGCTCTTTTATCATCTGGGTTCTCTCCTCTAAGGTCCCAGAGGGGAGGATGCAGTGGGCTCTAGCCCTACTTTTCGTTTTCCTGCCTCCAGGTCAGTATGCTGCCCAGGATTTCTGCTTGATTGTTTTGGAAGCTATCTCCCTATTAAATCTCTTTTCCATGCCATGCCTTGTTTTTCTCATCTGCTATACCTCACTGAATATTGTGATCATTAGTATTCTAAAATACACTTGATTTTTTTATATCTTGCAATGATAAGCTATATTAGTGACTTTCTCATTATTTTTCGTTGTTTTTCCCATCCAGCCAGTCAAGCGTCTTCCAACTTAGAAAGGAGAATATTGGCAGTTACTGGGAAGACTGGATCATCTGCTGAAATCTCTTGTGATTTTCTCCAACTAAGTCCCACCTACGTCCACTGGTACCAGTTCCAGGAGGGGAAGCCCCCAAGACGCTTCCTCTACTACGACTATTACAGATCCAGCATGGTGGTGGACTCAGGAATCAGTCCAGCGAAATACCATGCTTATGCGATCACGAGAAGTAGCTTCATGCTCGTTATTAGACGTGCCGAAGAACGCGATTCTGGTGTGTACTACTGTGCTGCTTGGGAGAGGCACAGTGATTCAGACCTGCCCTGTACCACACTGAAAATCATCGTGTGGCTCCTCCTGGTACCGAGTGTAGACCAGCCTCCACCTCACTTCTGGCTCCCAGCTTCGCTGTACTCTGAACAATGGGAAAGCCAAAGCTCAGAACCCAGCACCTGCCTTACATAAACTCCCCAGCAACAGCTGCATCCTGCCACCAGCATCACCCCAGGACGTCCTGAAATGGAGCTAGCAGCTCTTGGCATTGGCCCAGCAAGCCGCTACCAGTGCAGTACTTTGAGCTCTAGGGGTTAGTGGAGAGCCATCAACTTGCTTTCTCTACAGAGGTTACCTAGAGTGGGTATGTTAGAGGGGACTCTCAGGAGAGTATTATGGAAGGATAGTTATATTGAATGCCTTATCAAATTATTATCTAGATATAATGTCTGGGAATGGCGATAATACATTATTCAGGAGTAGGAGAAATGTTGGAATAAAAACTTAGAACTCAATACTTCATGCTGATAATCAGATTTTTTATCTTTTAAACAAATAAACTGATATTAACCTCACTCCAATCGACTGTGGTACTGTTAGTATGAATAAGAATGTAGAAAAAGAAGCTATTTTTGTATGACAATGTTTCTATTCACTTACACCTTTCGAAGAATACAATTTCAACAAATGAGTTTCAAGGATCTAGATGGCCTTCATTAGTCACTCGGGAACCAGGCAGCATCCAGTCTCAGATAGATAGGATCTCACATGGATGTGATGGAACAGCTGAGCCTTGAACAGTAGCTCGAGCAGAACAAGGAAGCAGTATAGTGCTAACAGTGGCTTGGTTAACATCAGGTTACGTTCCTCTTATGGATGAAAGCAGGGGGGACTTTCTTACCTTGTCAGATTGGTTGACCGGGCTTCTTTGCATTGGTTCCTGTAGAACATTTGTGGTGTGTGCGTGTGTGTGTGTGTTTAACCTGTATTGTTTAGCAATTTAGCTATGAACTCTCTGAGTTTTTAAAAGGTCAGATTCTGTAAGTAAACAGCTGATGACATGGAACCTCAGCGTAGGTGACTCCATTTAAATTAGTTTATTTGACTCCAAATGCTCAGTACGGATCAATGGTCTCCTATAAATTGTATTTAACACGCACATATTTAAAATTCTGCTCACAATCAAAACTGTCCTGTGTAAAACAAACATAGCTGCAGCTTCTCGTCACCCCTGCTCTCAATGTTGGCAACATTAAATTGAACGAAGTGAGTCTATCAGCTATTTTTTCACAATAATTAGAACTTAGGGATTCTTAGGGTGAACCAGCAGATGATGAACAGTAGACACACATTATAAAATCAAGTAAGGAAAATGTGGCTGCCATATTAGGCATGTTGAAAGACATGGAATTGATCCAGATAAAGAGGACACTGAAAAGGAAGATGTGTTCTATCAGGATAGCCATGATTTTTGGGAGAAAATAGGCTTGTAAAAATTTTAAATCTCATGTTCTAAAATTTCAGTTATGTTCTAAATAGAAAAAAGCAATTAATTTTGAAACACAATATGTGTGTTATAGCTAACAATCTTCTTTCGTTTCTTTTATTTAATTCAACAGTGGATTTTCTTTTTTTTAAATGTTCCCGTGTGTGTGTCCCCTGCACCTCACACCCAGCCTCGACCACCCACTGTCTATCCACTCTCTCCCATTACAGTCTCTCGCATTTATAGACATCTTCTCTACTAGCAATTCTCAAGTCTCTCTATTCTATTGCACTCATTACAAACTGAGTGGGGATATACAATGTGTATCTTTCAACGTCTGTCTTCATTCAACATTAAACTATGTTCATCCATTGTGAGTCAAATGATAGGATCTCATTGTTTTCTATAGCTGTGTAACAATCTATATCACCACAGGTTTTCAACCCAGTCATCAGTTTTTAGACATTTCGGTTGGTTTCATGTTTTAGCAATTGTAAATAATGCTGCAATATACATTAATGGGCAAGTGCCTTTCTTATTGAGCATTTTCATATCCTTTGAGTAAATACCAAGAAGTAGGAATACTGGGTCATATAGAAGTTTTATCTGTAGGTTTTTGAGAAAACTCTATGTTATTTTTCCACAGAAGTTGGACTAATTTACATTGCCACCAAAATTGTAAGAGTTCCCTTTTAACTATAGCCCTGTCATTTTTTTAAAATCTTAGTCATTCTAATTGGTATTAAATGATATCTCATTATAATTTTTAAAAATATGTTATTTTCTTTCAATACCTTTTATACATTCAATCACTATACATCACTTAGCTTGTAAAGTGAGTTTTCCAACCCGAATACATTTCACAGCAGTCCAGTGTGGGATACTATACACGTCATCATCAACAGATAATAATCCATTGCTGTGATTTTAATTTGTATTTCTCTTATGACAAGAGACTTTGAACATTTTTTCATATGCCTTTTAGCCATTCATAACTGTTCCTTGGAGAGGTATCTATTCAGTTCATTTGTCCATTTTGTAATTGGATTATTTATTTTTATGGGCAAGCTGTTTAAATTCCCTATATATATTCTAGATATCCATCCATCTCCTGTCTGAAGAAAAATTTGCAAATATTTTCTCCCATTTTGAGGGCTGTCTTTTCACTTCAGTTACAGTTTCTTTTGCTATGAGGAAGTTTTTTTTAGCTTGATGTAATCCCACTTGTCTATTTTGGGACTATTGCCTTTTCTTTTGAGGTCTTATTTAAGAAATCTTTGCTTACTTCAATATCTTCAAAAGTTTCCCCTACATTTTCTATTAGTAGTTTTATAATTTGAGGCTTTATATTTAAATCTTTGATTCATCTTTGAGTTGATTTTTTAATGGTAAGAGACAGGTATCTAGTTTCATTTTTCTGTAGGTAGATATCCAATTTTCCAGCATCATTTGTTTGAAAAAACTTTCTTTTCTTCACTGCATTGTCTTGTACCCTTTGTCAAAGATCAGTTTGCTGTAAAAATTGGGGTTTATTTCTGGATTCTCCATTCTGCTTCATTCCCCTGTGTGTCTGTTCTTGTGCCAGTACCATACTGTTTTGTTTATCACTGCTTTGTATTAATTTTTAAAATTGAGTAGTAAATTGCCTCCTACCTTATTTTATTTTTTTTGGTACAATAGTTCCTTGGTGATATAAGTTCTTTCATAATTTCAGACAAAGTTTTTAATTTTTTTCTATTCTTGTGAAGACTATCACAAGTAATTGAATTGGAATTGCATTAAATATGTAAATTCATTTTGGGCATGACTGACATTTTGATTATATTGATTCTTCCAACCCAAGAGCATGGGATGTCCTTCCAGTTTTTTGTATTATAATGAAGTTTTTGGTTTGTTTTTCATAGTTTTCCTTACAGAGGTCTTTCGCCTCTTTGATTTGATTTATTCCTAGGTATCTTATTTTATTTGTAGCTATTGTCAATGAGATTGCCTTCTTCAATTTTGTCTCAGTCTTTTCGTTGTAGGTGTATCGAAATGCTGTAAGTTTTTGTAAATTGACTTTGTATTCTGCTTCGTTTATCACTTCCAGACGTTTTTTCATGGAGTCCTTTGAATTCTACGTATGTCATCATATCATCTGTAAATAGGGACAGTTTAGCATCTTCTTTTCCCATCTGAATGCCTTTGATTTGCTCTCTTGACTAATCGCATTGGCTAGGACTTCTGGAACTATGTTAAAAAGGAATGAAGAAAGTGGGCAAACTTGCCTTGATCCAGTTTTTAAGGGGAAGGTTTTTTAGGTTTTCCCCATTCAGTATGATATTTGCAATGTATATGCCATATACGGCTTTTATTTTGTTGAGGAATATCCCACTTACCCTTATTTTGCTGAGAATCTTAATCATGAAAGGATGTTGTATTTTATTAAAAATTTTTTCTACATCTATTGATATGATCATATGATTTTTATATTTCTTTCTGTTAAACATGGTGTGTTATATTTATTGTTTTATGTATGCTGAAACTTTCTTGCTTCCATGGGATAAAGGTTATCTGGTCATGGTGTATAATCTTCTTGATATTATTTTTATTCAGTTTGCAAGTATTTTGTTGAAAATTTTTGTACCGTATTCATCAGGGATATTGGTCTGTAGATCACTATTTTTGTTTTGTCCTTGTCTGATTTTGGTATTAAGATAATAGAGGCTTCATAAAATTAGTTTGGGAGGATTCCTTCCTTTTGGATCTTTAGGAATAGTTTGAGAAGAATTGGAGTTAGCGCTTTAAAACTTCTATAGATTTCAGAAGTGAAGCCATCTGGACTTGGGCTTTTCTTTGCTGGGAGGACTATTTATCACTGATTCAATGTTATGATTTGTTATTTGTCTATTCAGACTTTTTATTTCATTCTGATTCAACCTATATTACTTGTACTTGTCCAGAAATTTGTTCATCTCATCTAGATTTTCTAGTTTGTTGGTATATAGTTGCTCATAGTGTTCCTTAATTATTTTTTTGTATTTTCAATGTATCAGTTGTAATATTGCCGGCTTCCTTACTGATTCACCTACCTGTTTCCTTTCTATGTTTTTCTTAATTAGTCTAGCTAGTGGTTTATCAATTTTGTTTTTCTTATAAAAAATACTTTTCAGGACCAGCAGATGAGGTAATGGTTATGTCACTGGACTCCAGTTTAGTCGACTGCAGTTTGAGTCCCAGACCCAGTGGCTTAAACTCATGCTGGCACATGTGCGTGCATGCCCAAAATCCCAAGAGGAGAATGGAGGAGGAGGAATTGGAGCATGGCTATCCCCCTTGGGGGTTATTTCTTGCTTTCTGTCTCTCCGTCTCTCTGGCAAGTGCACGCACCCTATAGGAAAAAAATCTCTCTTTAAAAAACAAAAACCAAAAAAAAAACAAATGGCTTTTTATTTCATTGAATTTTTTGTAAAGCTCTTTTATTCTCTATTTCATTTATTTAAGCTCTATTTTTTTTTACTATTTCCTTTATTCTTACATTTTGTTGTTGTTGTTGCTTTTCCAGTTTC